ATCTGTGGATCTATTCTTGTCACGATTTACAAATATTTGCAGTTCTTATTTACAACTACGGAATACCTTTATCATTAATGGTAATGTACAGTACTACCAAGGATGAAAAAAAATGTAGACTGCAATATCCACAAGGTCACAATCTGATTATTTCTGGATGCTGAAAAGAGACGGAAATGTGTTGGTGAATTAGTATTTTCCCTATCTTACTTAGTTTGCAAGTACCAAGTCTCTTTCTGCTTCTACTCAGCACGCGCATGCACACGCACACGCACACAAAAAGAGTAAGAACCCAAGTAGGGGGCAGATCACCTCAGCGCTAGCATGCTTCTTTCCCTGCTGTAGCTTCACAGAACTCTATTTGCTGGAATGAGGGGGAGCAGCCACATTGAATTTCACAATGAAAATCTGAGTTGGTGTTAATTCTGCTGTAAGCACAGAAGAATGCTTGTAGGAAAGCTGAGAGGGGGTGCAAGGTTCCATTGGGAGTGTGACTTCCACACAGGAGTCTGGTTCACCATACTGAACACCTTGGCTGCATCTAGACTGGCATGATTTTGTGGAAATACTTTTAACGGAAAAGTTTTTCCATTAAAAGTATTTCTGCAAAAGCGCGTCTAGATTGTGTGTGTTCTGAGTAGAAGCAGAAAGAGACTTGGTACTTGCAAACTAAATAAGATAGGGAAAATACTAATTCACCAACACATTTCCCTCTCTTTTTAGCATCCAGAATAATCAGATTTTGCTTTTATGTAAAAACTTACCAGCTGTCTACATGGGCTGCTTGAATTTGCGCAAGAGCACTGACTTTGTAATGTACAAAATCAATGCTTCTTGCGTAAATACTTTCACGCTCCCACTCGGGAAAAAGCCCTCTTGCGCAAGAAGACCAGTGTAGACAGGGAAGAACTGTTTTGCGCGAAAAAGCCCCGATGGCTAAAATGGTGATCGGGGCTTTCTTGCACAAAATCATGTCTAGACTGGCCATATATGCTTTTGCGCAAAAGCACTTTTTGCACAAAAGCATCTGTGCCAATCTAGAGGCGCTTTTGCAGAAATACTTTTAACGGAAAAAGTTTTTCGTTAAAAGTATTTCCGCAAAATCATGCCAGTCTAGACGCACCTCTTATGTATTACATAATGGGACAGCAGGTTCATGGTGCCCACAGGCTCTGGTTCGCCATTTCCAGCCAAGGGGAGCCATTGGAAGTGGCCCCTTTTCCCAATATAGAAATTCCCAAAGACTACTTGAACTGTATGGAAAATATTAATCAATTATCTATAGCATACCAGAAATGGTATAATTCTGAATTTTCAAACAACAAGTGAAGGGCTCTGTTAATTTTTGTCCTTGGCTGCTTGATTTCATAACATCTCATTTATGGCCACTTTGCTTCTATGAACAAAAGTGTGTTACAAATTTATAAAAAAATACTCAAATAGTAAAATTCTGAGCAAAAAGCTATTTTCCTTCTGACTCCTTGAAAGTTTATTACCGCATCTATGAGGGCAGTGTTCTCTGACAGGAAAAGCTGAAAAGAAAATATACCAAAACAGTAATGAAGTTTGTAGCTTTAATGAATAGGTTACATGGCATCAGAATCTACCTATTCCAGCAATCAGCTTTACCACAAATATAAAAGGAAATTAAATTTTTGAAGTCTGATTATAGAGATATTTCTGCGCCATATATTATTAAACATTAAGGGGGAAAAGCATATCCACTTTTTGATTATGAAGACTGCTATACATAAATTGTACCACAAGGTGATGCAAGTTGCAAGCATGTTCCCACTGGAAAAGCAGAAAATTAAATACAGCTAGAGTTAGTTTTTTCAACATTAGTCCAAGGCATTTGTTACATTTAAAATTAGAGAAACCGATTATGCAGCTTACCCCTTGAAACATTACTTCACTTTAATATCTTCAGTTCTATACTACCTTCTTTTTAAGGAAGAAAAGGCCACATGTTCTGGATTTTAAAAAATATATATATGTAAGAAAAAAGACAGTTACTTTAGCTCAGGAACCAGAGAATGGCCCATTTTGTGACTGAGAAAAACACACAGAAATATGCTCTTAAGTCCTGAGAGAAGAGAAGGTTGGGGTAGTACACAAATCCAGCATACCTTTTTCAAATACAGTCTGACAATTAAGTGTCATTGGTACATTCTCTTGTATGAGAAAGCCTGTGGGAAGGAGGGTTTGCCAAATAAAATACTGTTTGTTGTGTTCTCTTACAGAAAGTATGAAAGTGCATGTGTGTGATATTAATCATTCATATGTTCTATTGGCTTTATTTCATATATAACAGAAGTAAATAGCTGTTATCTAAAAGTCAGTTCTGTATGTAACAATATCCAGTAACTTTCTTAAATGCAACTGCATTCTACCAATGAATTCAGAAAAATCCACTTCACAATCATTCTGGTAGAGACCGTGGAGAGGCTTGCCCAAAGATCCCATTGAGGAGCATAAGTTCCATTTATTCTAGATAATGAATTAATGGTCTCTCTTTTTAAAATTATATATTTGACATTACAACAGTTTACTGCTGTGAATAAGTATGTTACCAGTTTGCAGGTGTGGCATCCCTGGTTTACTACAGACTGTTTCCCTGCCTGCTTTACTTAATTCTGTGTGTCAAATTATTGTACTTATAAAAGTAGTAACACTTGCACTTCTCTGATGTAAAGGATTATTCAGTATCTAAATTCTTCATCTGTAAACAAACAAAAATCAAATTACCTTGAAATAGAAAGTTAGAACCTGACTTGATATGATCAAATACCCTTTCTTAAGTATTTCAATTATTTAAGCTATTTGGGAACATGAAGAGAAGGGGGGGGAAAAAGAGCATCATATGGCTTCAATCATGTTAACTAACATTTTACTTGACTATTTACAACCCATAAAACAGCATCATAGGGTTATCATGCCAGTCCTAAGTCAGCAGTGCAGATTTTTGATTGTGTCTGCGTATGGCACAGAATGTGGCCAAAATCTAGAGGTTTCAACACCTAATGAAGGCATACATGTACATTGTAATTTTTTACAACCAAGTGTTCTACTCAATGCATAGAATGGCTACTGCAGTGCTTTGGAAATTTATTCCAGACCATACAGTTCTAGTTTACCATGATTACACAACTCAAAAACCTTGTCAACCAGAACTGCTTCCCAATCTCAACCACTTCAAATGCATAATTACATAATTAGAATGTTCGTAATAGATATTTATAGGATTAGTCATACAGAAATGTTTGCATATTTATAGTATGTATTATCCACTCAGGTAGGATCAGGAATTGCTATGACAGTGACCCAGGGCATAAGTGGAACGTGGGTGTGGAAGGGAAAACAAGAGTTCAAGTAAAGAGCAAGAGCTAGACCCTCCAAAGTATGAGCTGCCCAGAGATGGAATGATTTCCAGTTTCTTTACATTCTGCAAGACAAATGCTGGTGTGAAAAATCCAGCCAAAAAAAGAGGGCTCAAGAACAGCAGCAATAAAGCTTAAACAGGATTACATGCTGGTGGAGGGGTCTTCCCTAAGGCACTTTTTTTTAAACAAAGTTCTTTAGGGGGGAAAAAACCCATCAGTAGCCGCATGGTATAGGGTCTAGCAGGATTCCAAGTGTGGCAGGATTTAGCAAGCCAGGAGCTAAGCACATAGATGAGTTTGAGACAAATCTGCACTGGAGCATACAGTAAGCACAAACAACAAAGAATTCCAAATTCAGCATCTGATTCTGCAATGCCTTTGCACATAGGACTCAGATGGAAGTAAATGGGAGCGACGCACTTAAAACTAATCTGCTAAGGAAAGCTGCTTGTGCCTTTTTTGCCTGAGTTGCGCTACAGTCCTGAAAGGTGGTTTTAAAAAAAAAAAAAAAAAAAAAAAGGTGTCCCTTCCTGTTTCTCACCTTACAAATTCTAGTTCTCTCTGCCCTATTGCAATTGAAAAACAAACAAAAATTAGCATATCACAGGAGACAAACCTGTGAAAGCTGAGTATGAGAGTCAGGATTTAGAGTAAAAATCAGACTGTTTAAAACTCACTGTTTATTAATACTAACGCTTGACTGATGCTTGAAAAGAATGAGAGGATATTAATACAAATCCCCACTCCTTCTGCTAAAATGAGAGGTCAAAATTTACATTAGAGACCTCCAGCAAAACCAAAAATATCAGGCTTGATATCCGTGACAAAGATTTTCAAAAATGCAAGCAGAGAAGCTTTTCTAAGATTTTTCAGACTTCTAGGTATAGCAGGAGCAAACAAGAGACACAAAGCAAAATAAAAAAAAAAAATTGCAGGTCACCAGTAATACACTGTATTTGAGAAAATACCACCAGAAAAATAAAAGATCAGTTACTTTAAAGCTAACTAGGGAACATATAAAGACCTGCACAAAACAGGTTAAAATGGCACTTTTTGTAGCTTTCAAAAGTTTTCTTTATATAAGAAGTTACAATTACAAAAAAATATATAAAAGTGACTTAAAATTCATGAATAATTTTTTCTTCTTTAACCAAGGTGAATAAATAGTCACGTGATAGTTTTCCAGAAAGTGATTTGCTTTTGCAGTTTTCCAGTACAGTATAATTTCATACAAATCTTAAACCCTTTTCAGCATCTGCACTGAAGGCCAACTGCATTTGTTTTTTTTAATCATTTAGAAGGCTACCAAGACTAAAAGTAGATGGCTGAATCTATAAGACTTGCAGTGTTAAACTGCATGCTCCACATTATGCAGCCTGTGTTAATTGCTTCATCCATTTTATTAATATTGAGACTGGAGGGACCAAGAAGAACTAAAAAGGGAAAATAAGGAGGCAGTGTGCAACTGTGTGTTTAAAGCTTTGCTTCTGCAATGCTCCAATTATGGTGCAGCACACTGTGCATTAAGGGTACTTCAGCTTATGCCAGCCTGTAACAGCCACAGGGTCCTGAAAAGCAATCCAGGCTAGAAGATTATGTACATATCCCAGCCAGATACCATTTTCTGTAGGCACTCCTTGCAACTTTAGTTCTACAATACTAAAAAAACCCAGGAAACACCCATCCTGCAGTACAAAGCAGCTGTATCACACTCAAGAACTTCGCATAGTCTGTTCATGATTTTCATATTCAACTTACTTCTTGAAAAGTTATTTTCTAACATTCACCCGGCTGAGGCCTTTATCATTATTAACATTAAAGTATTAAACAGCAATATATCTTTGTCTTGGACGTAAAAAAAAGCCCGGACAAGTACAGGTTTCCATGCAAAAACTAAGAGACATTAACATGTATGAATGAATGAATAAAAAAAAATTCTCAAGACCGAAGTCCACTGACATGTGGGAGTCGCAGCAATTCCAATTGGCTTAGCCTCGCTTGCCTCTCTCAGTTCTTGCTCACTTTGCCGCAGGATTCTTGGGAGGCTGCAATTTGTATGTGCTGAAGTAGTTTACCACTTGCTGAGGCACTTCTGCTAGGACACACTGAGCCAGAGCTTCTTTGGGAGCCTTATAAAAAAAGAATATCAAACTTCAGTCTTAACCATTAGTCAGAGAGACCTGAAAAGTTTAGGTGTCATCTGCTCGTTTGTCCAAACAGACAACCTATGGCATTTCTCTTAGGAATTTGCTACAGTGCCCTTAGAAAAAAGTTTCTCTGCTCATCTTTTCATTCCACTCCACTAGCAGTAGCTGACTTCCCTTCCCTGCAGCAGAGGCTGCCTTTGTGTGGCATATGCAGTTTATAAAGTACTTTGAGATCCACCAGGATAAAATACACTGAGTAAAGTGACAGGAGTTAAACATTTGAGATTGAGTTTTTATCCACATCCTATTATTCCAACCCTCATTTGCAGTAACATCTTGACTTGTTTTATAATGCAATTCCTCTAAGGTACAGTTAGTTTGTATTTTGTCCATCACAGTTTGTCTTAAACTCTCCCTTTTCCAGTAATTGAAAATCGTATTTGAAACTAGTTCTATACCTGAGTAATCATGATGGTACTGGGAAATTAAAATACAACTTTCTTCTGGCCTCAATCCAACATACATGGGAGTAGTCCTGCGACACCTCAGAGGCTAACTAAAATATGTCCAGTGTAATTGTTAGTCTCTGAGGATACGTATATACATCTACACAGGATCATTATTCTGAACTAACTGATGTTATATCAAAATAACATACTGCATGTCTATACTACAAGCCTTTATTCTGAAATAATGCCGAGGTGGAGGACTTCTTACTCCGACTCCGGGTAACCCTCATATCATGAGGCGTAAGGGAAGTCAAAGGAAGAGTATAAACAGTGCCAAAAGCCAAATTAAGCTATTTTGACAGTTACATAGCTGAAGTTGCATAGTTTAATTCAACTTTAGCCCTGCTGTGTAGTCATACCCTAAAGGTGCTGCAGAACCACTCTTTATTTTTAAAGTTACTAACATGGCTATCCCCTCCGAGACATTTCAACATATATGGGGTCAGCTTTTTGTGTCCTCAATTCCAGCATGTCTTCAAGCAACTCCTTGGAAACTCTACAGCTAATAAAATACTTTTTTATAACTTCCAGACATCTAGTTTTGGGTCTTCTAAATGCTTCTCTTACCCTCTACTTCTACATTTAAAGCACATCATTTACTAGATAGTCTTCCAATCTTCTTGTCTCATGCCCAAACTAGCTAAGTCTAGATTCTTTCAGCTTCTGTACGACCTGTAACATCTAATTTCCTGTAGTTCATTCTGAATATGAACACTTCCATTTCAATTCAAGACATACTCCTGTGTCTCAGTGCCCAGCATCTGACCCCTACAAAAGTGTAGGTCTAATTACCATGCTTTACAGCCACTTCACTCATTTCCCTCCATTTAATCCATGCCTTTCCTATTCTGCTTATAATTTAGTCACGGAGTTCACCTTTATCCTATATTCTCTGGGTTAAGTGGTGGTTGGCCCCCAAGACTTCATCATCTTCCTGAAACATTTCAGAGAGGTGGCTGTCTTAAGCCTTTTTAAGCAAAAACACAGAGTCCAATGAAAGCTTAATGGCTAAGAATTATATTAGGTCATAAGCTTTCTCCTAAAGGGGAAAACTACATACTGTAATGAGAGCGCTGTTCCTTGTTAATATTAAGACACTATCACCAGAATTACAACATGAAATTTTCTCCTTTAGGTATTCTCACCTTATCGCTATTGGAAGTGGGCCACATCCACCCTGACTGAATTAGCACTGATGTAACACTCCCACTCTGTATCCCTATCATCTGACTTTCTCAGTCCATACATCTGATGAAGTGAGTTACTACTCAAGAAAACTTATGCCCTAATAAAATTGTTAGTCTTTAAGAGGCTACTGGACTTCCTGTTTTTCCTGAAATGGATCACTGAACGTATAGACATATACGGTCTTATTTCTGCCGATTTTCATGTAATGTTAAGCATGCACCATACTTTAGGTGTTTTCTCAAAGTGCATCGGGCACTAATGTGAACAGAAAGCCTTGACATATTCTGACATTAGAAATTATTCTGTTTCTCTGACTGACCTTCTAACTGCTGTAACAGCATCCTTGTTTATATTCTAGATAACTCTAACATGGTCTTCTTGTACCTGTTTCATTCTCATGCACCACCAAATAGTGCTCTTAGAGTCAGGAGCCTTCTAAAGATTGATGAACACTGCATTCAGAGTTTTCTCCTTTTTTCTCTACATTAAGATTGCTTGTGGAAAAATATAAAGATAGCACTGTTGACTTGCCTGGCATGAATCTAAACTGTCTGTCACTGACTTATTTTTCTTCATAGTCTCTTATGCTCATGAGTTTAATGCTGCAGATACCACTGTCTTTCATGTTTCCGTTTTCTTTAAATACTGGTTACAATGTGCTCTTTCTCCAAGCATCAGCTCAATCCTCATAATGAAATCAAACAATCGTGTCAATATTTTCTTGCCTCCTTGCCCCCAGACACTTCCATATTTCTCCAAATATGCCACTGGGCCTAAAAGTTTTCTTTCTTTTCATGTTGCTCAATATTCAGTTCTACAACAACTTCTTCTTGGACTGACACCAGCAGAACCTGGTTTGATTTTATCACATGGCATACCTGTATTGCTCTTCGATGCTCTTCAATCATAAGCCTTTAACAGTAATTATTCTAGCATTCCTTAATCTGGGGTTCTTACTGACTAACATATTTCCACTTTCATCTTTAATTACTTTGATTTCACCAATGTCTTTAGTTCTCTTGTCACAGGTCTTCTCCAGTCCATACATTTCTCTTCCACCTTCCTTCATTTCAAGACAGGCATATAACACTTCTAGGGCTTTAGCCTAGGCAGCTGCCAGCTTCCCTCTCCCCTTTATCTTTTTTTTAATACTCCTGAAAATCCTGTCATTAGAGCATTGCTTGCCAAAGTTTAATGCACTTTTTAGTCTCCAACTGGCACATTAAGTAATCTTTGCAGGTTGATTTCCACTAGAGTTGATATGGGGGGGAAGGAAATAAAGAAAATTGGTGCATTATTTTTATTTTAATATGAGCTTTGTACCAAGGGGGGGGGGGGATTAGAAGGATTAGAAAAGAGCATAAAGTGTAGAAAAACAAGAACTAGGAAGTCAGCACTTTAGACGACATTTTATATGTCAGTCTTACTCTCCTCAAAAAAAAATATATATATTTGCAAGGGCATGACGTTTAAGATAGAATCATAGAATACTAGGACTGGAAGGGACCTTGAGAGGTCATCGAGTCCAGTCCCCTGCCCCCATGGCAGGATCAAATACTGTCTAAACCATCCCTGATGGACGTTTATCTAACCTACTCTTAAATATCTCCAGAGATGGGGATTCCAAAACCTCCCTGGGCAATTTATTCCAGTGTTTGACTACCCTGACAGTTAGGAACTTTTTCCTAATGTCCAAGCTAAACCTCCCTTGCTGCAGTTTAAGCCCATTGCTTCTTGTTCTATCCTCAGAGGCAGTATCATGACTATATGATCCAGTGTCAACAGTACGTGTATGCCAGATTCCATCTAAAGCTTTACACACAAAACTGAGTTCCCTATCATTTTGTTTTCATCTTTAAAAAAAAAAAAAAGGCTTTATTTGCTTTAATAGAACTTCATCTGCTTTAGCAGGGGCACCTATGTATCAGAAAATAACTCCCTCGCCTTCACACACAAAGGTTTGTTTATCAAATAATCCAATGCAAATACACAGGGCTCAAAATTAATCGATCCAGAATTACAGCTAGGCAACACCATGGACTAAAATGGAAATAATCTTAAGTGAAGTCAGAATCCTCCCAAGAAAACCAGCACTGATTTGATTATGCTGAACCACACAGCAATTCTAAAGTAGCATTATAACATTCATTTCCTACAAAGACTGGTTTAAAAAAAAAAAAAAAAGATTTCTGAACCAGGAACAAGTCGTCATTTTGATCCAAATGATTTACTGGTAGTTCCACAGATGAGATGGTAGGTCTTCATCTCCTCTTAGCTGTTGATATGACAATGATACCTCACTTCTAGCTAGAGAGATTGTATTCAATAGGCTTTAGATCTCATTCCAGGGCCTCTCCATGAATAAATCCACAGTGGAGGTAGGACCAGTAGTATTCACATACATTAGATTTCATAGCATTTCTCTGGTATGTATTCAATATGCCATTAGCAATGGTACTTACATTTTGGAACTGTCTAAATGGCACAAATTGGACAATGTCTCTGACAGCTGGCTCTCCAGTCGGGGACCTGAGACTTCCATTGTCACCATCAAGAAACTCCATGGCACTGAAATCCGCTCCTCCAACACCAACAATAATAATCGACATGGGAAGCTTTGCAGCATTAACTATGGCAGATCTGGTTGCATCAAGGTCCGTTATCACACCATCCGTGATGATGAGGAGCACAAAATATTGCTGGCAAACCAACATGCACATTGTTACAAATGAGAACAACAGAAGGGATACTATTGCATACGAGCATCCAACAGTGTTACAGTGCACAGAACAGTAAATGTTCAATATGAGAAGATCAATCTTTGCAATCAAGAACCTAAACTTTACTCAGGTCTCTTCTACCTGGTTAAAAAACAAAACAAAACACAAAACAAAACAAAACAAAAAACAAAACAAAAACCACCACCACACTAACTCTTAGAAAAGTTAGATGTCTGCAAGTCAACAGGGCCTGATGAAATGCATCCTAGAATATTCATGGAGGTGACAGAGGAGGTATCTGAGCCTTTAGCTATCATATTTGAAAAATCATGGAAGACGGGAGAGATTCCAGAAGACTGAAAAAGGGGCAAATATAGTGCTCATCTATAAAAAGGGAAATAAGAACAATTCAGGAAACTACAGACCAGTTAGTTTAACTTCTGTGCCAGGAAAGATATTGGAGCAAGTAATTAAGGAATTCATCTGCAAACCCCTTGAAGATAGTAAGGTGATGGGTAACAGCCAGCATGTATTTGTAAAGAACAAATCATGTCAAACCAATCTGATAGCTTTCTTTTGATAGGATAAGAGAGAAGAGGCGGACGTGGTATACCTAGACTTTAGTAAGGCATTTGATACGGTCTTGCATGATATTATCATCAATTAACTAGGCAAATACAACTTAGATGGGGCTACTATAAGGTGGGTGCACAACTGGCTGGATAACTGTTTTCAGAGAGTAGCTATTAACTGTTCACAATCCTGCTGGAAAAGCATAATAAGTGAGGTTCCGCAGGGGTCTGTTTTAGGACCGGTTCTCTTCAATATCCTCATCAACGATTTAGATATTGGCACAGAGAATACGATTATTAAGTTTACACATGATGCCAAGCTAGGAGGGGTTGAAAATGCTTTGGAGGATAGGGTCATAATTCAAAATGATCTGGACAAATTGGAAAAATGGTCTGAGATAAATAGGGTGAAGTTTAATACGGACAAATGCAAAGTACTCCTCTTAGGAAGGAACAATCAGTCTCACACATACAGAATGGGAAGCAACTGTCTAGGAAAGAGTACTGCAGAAAGGTATTTAGGGGTCAGTGGACCACAAGCTAAATATGAGTCAGTGTGACGTTGTTGCAAAAAAGCAAACATGATTCTGGGATGCATTAACTGGTATGTTGTGAGCAACACACTAGAAGTCATTCTTCCGCTCTACTCTGTGCTGATTAGGCCTCAGTTGGAGTATTGTGTCCAGTTCTGGGCACCACATTTCAAGAAAGATGTGGAGAAACTGGAGAAGGTCCAGAAAAGAGCAACAAAAATGATTTAAGGTCTAGAAAACATGAACTATGAGGGAAGACTGAAAGAATTGGGATTGTTTAGTTTAGAAAAGACAAGAGTGAGAGGGGACATGATGGCAGTTTTCAAGTATCTAAAAGGGTGTTTGTTGCAAGGAGGAGAGAGAAAAATTGCTCTCCTTGACCTCTGATGATAGGACAAGAAGCAATGGCCTTACATTGCAGCAAGGGAGTTTTAGTTTGGATGTGAGGAAAAACTTACTAACTGTCAGAGTGGTTTAACACTGGAATAAGTTGCCTAGGGAGGTTGTGGAATCTCCATCTCTGGAGATATTTAAGAGCAGGTTAGATAGACATCTATGAGGGATGGTCTAGACCAGGGTTTCCTAACCTACAGGTCGCAGGCCAAATATGCGTTGCCATTACATTTCGGGTCGCCAAGTGTCTCCTCAGGTGGCCCTCTTAAGGAACCATTCACACATTTGAAAAAGTCCCTGGCTGCTCAGCTCCACAGCTGGTTTAGTTTTAAGGAGACATTCACCTGAAGTGGTACTCAACTTAATTGGTTTAACAACCTCCCAGCAGTTAAACTAATCAATTGAATTGAATACCATTTCAGTGACTCTGAGCAGACAAGGGAAATATTCCTGGACATTGGAAGAAAGAAGTAAGAACAGGAGGGAACGCAGAGAAGAAGCAGCACCCAGCTCAGGGCGGGGGGAAGGGGAGGGGGGGAGG